AGTCCTAACAAAATCTCCCACCTATTGCTTCCAGACTTAACGAAACACACACACACACACACACACACACACACACGGGCACACACACACGCACGCGCGGGCACACACACATGCACGCGCGAGCGCACACACATGTCCGGTTCTCGTTATGCTGGCTGCTGCACCCTGTGTCTGGCTGAGGGAAATGGCCCTACAGGTGTTGAGGACTGTCCCTTCCCTTGGTCCACTCATCCCTCGGCGGCCGCCGTGGCGCCAGCACTGCTCTGCTCCTCCTGTTAGCTAGAACTTACCAATAATAGCCCCACTTTGCAAGGTGCAACAATAGGTGGTTTATTGAGCGCGTCCTGTGTCCCCAGGGACCATACATTACACCCCAGTCTCAAAGCCAGGGGCCCCAACCACTGAGCCAGATGCCTGCCCAAGGTCACGATGTGAGCAGCAGGCGAACCCCAGCCCCTCCCCCATTCCTGCTGCCAAGGGAAAGGGGGACCAGAGGTTGGAGGAGAAGGGGGCTGGCGGAGAGCTGCTGAGAGGTCTGGCCTCTGGCGGGCCGCAGTCTATCTCTGGTTTCCCCTGAGTCCTGAGGCGTCTCTGCCTGAGTATCCCCAGAACTAGAGCGTGCCTGAGACAAGGATTTGGGGAGCAGGGAAGCGACTCCGGGAAAGCGAGGAAACCAGTGAATGGGGTGCCCTGGAGAGAGGCTGGGGCCTGATCCCTTGCAGCGAGGAACCTGTGTAAACCAGTCCCTCCCTGGCCTGCGGGGTGGTCCTGTGGTCAGTGGGCCTGGCCCAACCGCCCCAGGATTCTCCAGGAAGGGCTGCTCTAACTGTCATAAGCAGCGAGATCAATAATTACTTAACACTCTTAGACATTTTCGAATGGTCCCTTTATTCACTGCAAACATGCATCAAACAATCTGAAATATTACTCAAACTACTAAGGGCAAGCAACTATGCGCATAAGGGCACTATAACAGCACTCTTCGTGTATTTCATACTAGCACCATCGTCCCAATCAGCATTGCCTCATCGGTGCACTCACCCCGAGTAGAGCTGGAGAGAGCAGGAGCTGATGTCTCCTTGGTTCCTAGCTCTCTAAAAGGTCAGTGTCTCTACCCGGGTTTAAATGGACATTTTGTCTAGCTCTTTGATGTCTTCACTGTCCCAGTCAAGTCTTATCGGGTTTCTCCAGGCTTTAGGTGACTTGGCTGGCTTTGGGGCGTCGGTCAGGTCTCAGCTCAGTCTGATCAGGTTTCCCCACATCTTTGTGGTGGCTCCTTGGATCAGCTGTTGATTTGGGCCCCAATGTTACACTTTATTTCTTCTCTAAAGTGGAGTTTCTTGTGCTTGTTTCTTTGGGGTGGCTCAACGTCTTGCAAGGAAGTTCTATGGCGCTCTCATCACTAACCAAACCCTGGCTTGATGGGACTCTCATAGCCACCCTGCAGGACGGGGCCAGATTGCTCCCTTGGGGCAGCTGGTGAGTTCAAACTGCTGACATGGTGGCTAACAGCACAGCAGGTAACCCCCATGGCCACCACAGCGCCTCCCTAAGGTGATCTCGGCCTGTGCAGGGAGGCAGAGTAGCCGCTCTGAGGCTGGACGTGGGAGTGTGGAGGACCAAGAGCCCCAAATGAATACTGTCCAGTCATGGGCCGAACTGTGGTCCCTCAGACACGTGTCCACTTGCCTCATCTGGGCCTCGGCGCTGTGTCATTATCCTGCATGGTGCCGTCTGATGCCATTACCCAAGACGCCGGAAACCCTGGTCTCTGTCATGTTCCTGAGGCAGGATGCCATCGCCCCATTGGACTGTATGCTGAGACTATCTCTTTCTGAGATCTGTGAGATTAAACAAGCTAGACGGTAGCCCAGGACCCAGGACTCAGTAATAAGCCCAGGACCCAGTAATAAGGAGAGCTGCGAGCCGAGTGTGTCCTTCAGACCTGGTGTCCCTGTGCTGTGACCCTCCTGGACCCCTGAGAAGATAGACGGCAGGTCACATGGTGACCTGCAAGGGACATCAGGCTGCAAATGTTGAAAGGGGATGACCTTCCCCGGGGCCAACAGAGAGAGACCATCTTCCTCTAGGGCTGGCAGCATCCTGAATTCCAACAACTGCGAGAGAAAAAGTTTCTAAAGACCTGCCTTATGGGGCTTCTGTCATGCAGCACCGACCACCAAGACATGCCCCCAAGCGTGAGCAGGAGCAAAGGTGAATTCTCTCGGAGCGAAGTGACTTGGGATTCCCACTGATGCAACCGAGGCAAAAGTACGATCAAATTAAAATCACCAAACACACAGAAGTCAAGGCTCAGCAGAAACCGTGGTGTGTGAAATGGCGGGAGGTCATCAATGATAGGATATCAAACTAGCATGTCCTTTAGTGGTGTCTAAGACAAGCACAAGAAGGCACACCGTCAGAAACGCACACTTATCAGGAAAGCACACATAGAATTCTTAGAATGAAGACTCTTTTCAAGAATTAAACACTCAAGAAACCGTGGGGTATACGCTAAATGAGAGAAGCCTGTCACAAAAGATCACCGGGTACATGGTTGTGTTCATTTTGAATGTTCAGAATTGGCCAATCTCCTTGAAGGGCTATTTTCCAGTGACCGTCTACTGAGCATGATGTCCATGTCCAGGGACTGGTCCCTCCTGAGAACACGGCCAGTGTCCAAAGGTGAGGTCTCATGGTTCTTGCTTCCAAGGGTCATTCTGGCTGGACTTCTTCCAAGACAGTCTTGTTCATTTTCCTGACCATCCATGGCACATTGAATACTCTGCCCAAACCACAATTCAAATGCTCCAGCTCTCCTGGGCCTTCCTCATTCCTCATCCTCATCCAGGGCCCTGTCCCCCGGAGCTCACACTTCAGTGAGAGCAGACAGACAGGAAGGTGGTTACAGGTGCAGAGTTCCCAAGTGGGAAAGAGTGTGGCACGTGGGAGTGGAGTCCAGACGTGGGTAAGGTAGCCACAGAGACCAGGGGTGGCAGGAAACGTCTGTGATGGGGTTGGCTGTGGCCCTAAAAGTCACAGGCTAGGAAGGGCTGGACGCAGGGCTGTGCTGACCGGCCTTTCAGATACCCTCCTGCCTCCTCCCTGGCCCCAGCAGAACTTCCACCAGGCCGGCCTCCATTCCTATTAGCTACTTCAACTCTGAGTCTCTGCCCACAGACATGGGTAGCTGCAGATGGCACTTGACAGGTCCCTGGTGACCACGGCCAGCCCACTCCTGGGCTTGACCTCTCTGCCAAACTTCTGTTCAGCCGTGGAAGCTCCTGCTCGCTCCAGTCTTCAAAGCCAAGGATGGAGTGGGCATCTCCGTGGAATCCCAGTGGTCTAGGTCCCCAAGTGGTCTTGTGTCAGTTACGCCTGTCTGTCCCAGGGAGTGCCAGCTTGATTGCTGACCCGATTCTAAGGACCAGAGGATGCCAGGCAGGATGGCAGTCACTTGTGGATCCTGGTACAAAGCACTCCCTTCGCCCAAGCGCCCATATCCACTCAGGCCCTCAGCTTTGTCTCTCTGTCCTTCATTCTCTCTCTCTCTCTCCTCCTCCTCCTCCTCCTCCTCCTCTCTTCTCTGTCTCACATGCACACAGAGACACACATCCTCTATATAGTCCCTCTCTCTCTCTCCATTCTGTCTCTTTCTGGATCTCTCTCTGCCCTTCCATGTTCTCTCTCCCCCCCTCTCTGTTCTCCCCCCTCTCTGTTCTCCCCCCTCTCTGTTCTCTCTCTCTCATACACTCACACATGCCCCTCCCTCTTTCTCTGTTCTTTCTCTCCACACTCACACACATTCACACTTACACACCCCTCCCCTCTCTGCTCTCTCTGCTCTCTCTCTCTCTCTCTCTCTCTCTCTCTCTCTCACACACACACACACTCACACTCACATGCCCCTCCCCGCCCCCTGCTCTCTCTCATTCTCTCCCCAGGGATATGACGGCCATGTTGTCAGGTGGCCCTGTGGCCCACCTGAGTGACAGGGGGCCAGGCTGCAGCCACCCCACAAAGGGGTTCGAAAGAAAACCCCTGGAGAGAACCCCAGCCCATCAGAGCCCTCAGATGAGACTGGAACCCAGCAGCTTGGCTGCAGCCCAAGGCCGAGAGTAAGAAACACCCCCACTCCAAAAATCATGTATGCAGCAGAAGGTGGGTGGTCCTGGCTCCTGCGTGGGCAGGGCAGGGCAAAGACCAGGAGGGGCCCAGCAATGCCACCAGGCTTGGAGCTTCCCCAGAGGCAAGCCCTGCGCCCTCCCCACGTGGGCACGATTGCCATGGAAACTGAGATTCCTAACTGGTCTCCAGGCTACCCTGCCTGCCCCCCCCCTCCCAGTGGTGACAGCCGCGGCTGGCCTCACCTACTGGATCTGGAGCATGGACCAGCACACTGTCACCGGGCTGGCAGCGAGCAAGGCCATGTCCTGGTGCCCTCGAGCCCGCAGTGCAGGGATTGGGCGGCAGGGCCCTGGGCATGTCTCCAATCCACCAGCGGCTGGACAGCTTCCTGCCTGCCAGGTTGGTAGGGGGCCCAAGCCACAGGTCAGGGGTTTCTCCCTGCACCCAAGGGCCTGGAAGGGTGGGGCCACGGAGAGGGAGGGCAATTCAGAGGAGAAGAAGCAGTGCGTGGGTGAGAAACTAGTGACCTGTTCTGAGTCAAGGGCAGCACACACACATCCACTGTACGTGCACACACACACCACACATACAAATCACACACCACACAGACAGACATCACACAGACAAACACACCCCACACACACAGACAGACATCACACCACACACACACACACACACACACACACAGTGGAAAGGGAGGAGAGGGAGTAGGGGAGCGGGGTGTCGGTGAACAGAGCAGAAGGAAGGAGGGGAAATTGGTGCAGAGAAATACAGCCCACACACAGACCCAGGGTGAGCGGAAGCCCTCAAGTGCAGAGTTCCAGATTCAAGCTGCACCTCCCACCCCCACACCATGTCTGCCAGGCACATCAGGCCCCTCCTCTGTGGGTTCCAGTAAGACTCCCCCAGCTGAGGGCAGGGGACAGAGTGGCACATCGCTGGGGTCAGTCCCCATGGTGCCTGAGGCCAAGAACTAAGGTGAGGGAGTGGCAGTAAGAACAGGTCCCCAGCCCAGCCTCCAGCTGACCCGCCCAACTCTGGGTCCTCAGGAACCTGGAGGAGCAGGGCAGGATGGACCTGGGGGAGACCACTGTCTGGGGTCTGGGAAGGGGGGGCGAAGCCCCCGCTGGAAAATTGTCTGCCAAGGACGGAAACACAGACTAGTCAGACATGATGAGACGGGTAGGTCACAGGGAGGTGGGTGTGGCCCTGTGTGCTGATTCAGCTCCCAGAGCCCCTGGAGACACCCCGGATTGGGGGTCATGGGATGTGTCTAGAGAGGCATCAAGCCTGGGGGGTCATGCCTCCCTCCCTTTAGGCTCTAGTTGGGCTAGGGGCTCTCAACAAGTCACTGTGCTAATTATAATTTATTTGATCCATCTGTCTGCACAGGCTCATCTGATAGCAACCATATCTGCTGTGCCCCCCAAGGAAAGAAAAAGTGTCATCATGCCCACTCCGCACCCCCTGCATTGACCTCCAGTCTGGAGGCTCTAGGCACCCAGGTGGGGAGCGGTATCCAGGTGCTTCATGCATAGGAAGGGGGAAGTCAGAGCCAGACCTTGGGAAGCTCTCTCTCTGCGTCACATCTGGAAGAAGACCCTTGTCCCCTCAGCCCCGGCTTGGTTTAGTCACCGCGTGTCTCCCCCCGCCCTGCTCTCTGCTCCCTCACTTCAGCTCTACCTCAGAAGAGTTTGCTGGAAATACCCTATGCTGAGCCTGCATCATTAACTGAAGCAAGACCACATGTGGGGGTCCACATTCAATCGGTGGCACTCCACCATATCTGTGCCACGTCCCGACACACCAAACCCTTCAAATCATCCCCCGAGTCTGAAACCAATTCCACATCCAGAACCCTGCAGTCCGAACCATCGAGCCCGGGCGGTGGGGCTTGGGTGCAGTGCCCCCTGCGGTGGGATTGCTTTCCGCCTGAGAAGCTGTGAGGCCAGAGAACAAGCGCCCTGCTCCCAAAGCCCACCGAGGGTGGGTGGGTCAGGCACATGGGGGGCATTTCCATCATAAGAAGGCCCAGACCCAGCTCCCCGTGGGCATCCCACCTGCAGGACCTTCCAGGGGTGCAAGCCAGAGGTGGGGGGACATCAGCAGTGGTGGCCCGGGGGTGGGAATTCGAGTGGGGGACAGCGTTCCGTGTGTGACGTACACAGCCCTCAGCCACACACTGGAAGCTGGGAGACTCGGGCCCTCCCCAGGCTGCCTCAGAGGAAAGGCCTAGTGGCCTGCTTCCGCAAACACCTCACAGACTTGTGAGCGCGCCCTGACTGAGCACCCCCCTACCGCCACCCCACCCCCAGGTGGGGATGCGCCTAGAGCCCAGATGGACCATGGGACTGGCTGGCTCCGGCCTGCCTGAGGCTCCATTGGCCCCTGACCATCAGCTGCAGATGTGGCCAGAGTGAGGCTTCCATTTGCAGTGCCCAGGACTCGGGTGTCTCGTCTGGCCCGAATCAGCATGGTCCTCAGGATGGGGACCGCCGGCCGGGTGTTCCCAAGGAGTCCTGGGATCCGGGCGGCCAGCTCCGGCAGCAAGCCCCAGATGGGTGACGACTGGCTCCTCACCAGGTGCCATGTGAGGAGGCTGGGTGAGCTCTGTGTCCCCATGGTCACCAAGGTGTACAGCGACACCCCAAGACAAAGACTGTACCTTGTGCAGGGGGCCCCCAGGCCAGACCTGGCTTTCTGACCTCTGTATCTCGGGAGGCCAAGGGGCTTGGAGCCCAGGATAGGGGCCCACAGCTGTCCAGGAGGGCAGGGCAGCAGCCCTCGTTCCTCGCTCGACCCTTGTCCACAGCTGGCTCCGCTCCGACCCTGAGTCCAGGCAGCTGCTGCCACGGGGTATGTGACTCACTGGGCAGGGGCAGAATGGTGGGGAGGCCGAGACCACTGACAGAGAGGCTCAGAAGAGGAAGCTGTGGCCCAGAGGTCTGCTGGCAGAGTGTGGGGTGGTGTGGGCTCAGGATGGGGGGGAACAGGGCTGCCCTTTAGTGGGGTACCAAGCTCAGGGAGGAAGGACAGTGTGCCCAGGCAGAGGCCAGCAGGACATGGCCAGCCCTGGGGCACTCAGCCTGCAGCCCTGCCGGGGGTCTGAGGAGGCAGGTAACTGTGCCCAGGGTCAGGGCAGGAGGCACCAACCCTGGCGTGGCAAAGTGACCATGTCTGTATGCCTTTCCTGGGGGAGGGGCAGAGGGGACAGTAGGGCCTTTTCGGTGGGGGAGGGGGGCCAGTGAGGCGGGAAGAGGACAGGGTCTGATCTCTGGGCTTCGACTCCTTGTCCCTACACCCTAGAGCTGCCGGGAACCAGTGAAGCCATTCTAATCAATCACATTGAATGTCCATCTGTGAATCAAATGCTGACCCTGCCACAAGGAGCCCTGGTGGCACCAAGGCCAGCACCTGGCTGCTGACCCAAAGGCCAGCGTTTCAAACCCACCTGCATTTCCGCTGCTGAAGGGCCTGGCAACCTGCTCCCAGAAAGGCGACAGGCTAACGCCCCCAGGGGCAGGCTGCCCTCTCACCTGGGAGTCCCCGAGACTGTGCTGCCAACATCCTTAGCAGGGGGTTCTCACCTGCAGCCCAGGTGGGCTGGTACTTTACCTCTGGGTCTCAGCAAAGCTGGGGTCTGCTTCAGTGGGCTGAGCCCAGTGAAGGGCTGGCGGAAGCTGGGGGTGCAGAGGCGGCAGCTTTGGAAAGTGTCCCCAGCACCAGAGACCACCCTGTCCTCCTCCCCTGCTGTTATCACCCAGAAAAACAGACAGGTTCCGGCTGCCCCCGGCCAGCCAATGGGAGCCGAGTTGAACCCTGCTTGGGGCTTCTGTCCAGCACCCTCTGGCCCCAGCACAAGACCTGCCCCTCAGACCTTCCCTTCCCCGGGATCCCCGACTCTCCACAGCTTTCTGCCTGCCCCCAGTGGTCGGGGCCCTGATGGCAGTGCCCTAAGGAAAGAGCTGGGGGCCACTCCCGTTGCCCAGGCGCCCAGCAGACCGGCTGGCTGCTTCGGGAGGACCCTGATGCCTTCCTCTCAGGGAAAGCACCTGAGGCCCCGCCCACAGTGCATCCCCCATACTTCCCCTCTGGGCAAACCCCTGGCACCCCCACCCCACCCCCATGCTTTCTCATCCATGAAATAGGCCTTGGGTCTACGGGCTGGTGGGAAATTCTGGGTGCTGCTGCAGCCCTGGCTACCAGGACTCAGGCTGAGGGTTGGCGGAGGGGAGGGGGGTGCAGCCAGGGCAGCCCTCACTGGTAGGTGCTGCTGAACAGACTGGGCCCCTGCTGAGCAAGAGGACGGAGGAGGGGACAGTTCTCATGCTTTTATTTAAGATACACTTAGAAACTGCGGGCATCTATCCCTGGGCACCTCATGGCACTGCTGTAGACAATCCCCTGAGGGCTTTTCCGGGGCGGGGTTCCCTCCTTCTGATGGACCCTCAGGTACCCGTATGCTCAACCAGGTCAGTGGTTCCAGGGACATGTCTGTTTAATGGGGTCAGCGGGGGAGCCGTCCCCCCCGCCCCAGGACAGGGCCCTGCATGGACCCACACTGCTGAGGCCCAGAGAAGGCCCCGCCCAGATTCCACCCAAACCGAGGGGGCGGGTAGGGACAGCACAGGTGGACAGGACGCTCCAAGGGCAGCCACAATGACGCTCCCTTCCCCTCTGGAGCCACTGAGGCTCTGTAGGGAAGCACCGCCCCTGCCTCTGGCCTGGTGCCTGAGCTGGGAGGCAGCTGGAGGGCCATTGTTTGAGGCTGGAGCTGGCCCCCAGGGAAGCTGGTCTCCCCAGCCCAGCGATGCCCTTCTCCCCACTTCCCACAGAACCAGAGCTCCCGGTGAGAACCCAGAGCCACGGCCACGGCTGTGCTCCCCAGGATGAAGGCGCCCACTGCTGCCCTGCTGGCCCTGCTGCTGCTGGCCCTGGAGCCAGGTGTGTGTGTGTGGAGGGGGGGCACAGCATGAGATCAAAGGCCAGCGGTAGGGCCCCCAGCCTCACAAGCCATGGCTGGGGAGAAAGCGGGGGAGAGCTGGGGTGGGAGCTATGCCGTGGGATCCCCACCAGATACAGGGACACGAGTTCCACAACCAGGACCTGCAGCCCTGGGCTCAGGCTCCGCCTGCCCTTCTGTGGGGCTTTTGGGGTTGCCCTGTCTCCTCTGGCCTCAGTTACCCCTTCTTTAAAGTGGGCAGGTGGGGTGAGGAGCTGCTGTGGGGGCCAGGCTGAAGCAGCAGGTCTGTGGGCACAAAGATAGCAGGTCGTGGGGTGGTGTGTATGTGTGCGTGTGCGTGTGCGTGTGCGTGTGCGTGTGCGTGTG